ACTTATCATCTTTCCATTGGTTGCTTTGATGTAAAAGATGTTGATGTGAAAGAGACAGACACAAAGGTAGAAAAAAGGTGAGGTAAGTACTGTGGAAGTAGTCTAATATGACATACAGTGGGGTGATGGTAGTTTGAAGTCAGAGGTATATGACATACAGTGGGGTGATGGTAGTTTGAAGTGAGAAATAGGTAGAAAAAAGGTGAGGTTAGTACTGTGGAAGAAGTCGACAGTAGAGCAAAGGTGAGGTGAGTACTGTGGAAGGGGTCGAATTTGACATACAGTGGGGTGATGGTAGTTTGAAGTGAGAAGTCGAAGAGAAAAGGTAAGATGAGTACTGTTGAAGTGGTCGAATTTAAGAAAAAAGGTGAGGTGAGTACTGTGAAATGGTCGAATATGGACAAAGGTGAGGTGAGTACTGTAAAAATAGTCGAATATGATATAGAGTGGGGTGATGGTAGTTTGAAGTCAGAAGTCAACTGCCGATCAATAGACTTTTTGCAAGTCAGAAGTCAACTGCCGATCAATAGACTTTTTTGTCTTTGAAGTCAGAAGTCAACTACCGTACAGTGGGGTCATGGTAGTTTGAAGTGAGAAGTCAACTGTAGGTGAGGTGAGTACTGTGGAAGTAGTCGAATATGACACAGTAAGGTAAGATGATTACTGTGAAAGGGGTCGAATATGACATAAGTGAGGTGATGGTAGTTTGAAGTGAGAAGTCAACTGCCTTAGTCGAATATGACATACAGTGGGGTCAGAGTCAACTGAAGGTAGAAAAAAGGCGAGGTGAGTACTGTGGAAGTGGTGAAATATGACATACAGTGGGGTGATGGTAGTTTGAAGTCAGAGGTATATGACATACAGTGGGGTGATGGTAGTTTGAAGTGAGAAATAGGTAGAAAAAAGGTGAGGTTAGTACTGTGGAAGAAGTCGACAGTAGAGCAAAGGTGAGGTGAGTACTGTGGAAGGGGTCGAATTTGACATACAGTGGGGTGATGGTAGTTTGAAGTGAGAAGTCGAAGAGAAAAGGTAAGATGAGTACTGTTGAAGTGGTCGAATTTACGAATATGGCATAGAGTGGGATGATGGTAGTTTGAAGTCAAGTAGTCGAATTTGACATACAGTGGGGTGATTGTAGTTTGAAGTCATGTCAAATGCCGGTTAATAGACTTTTTTGCCGTATGAGAATGTAGGACATATAGGGGGGTCATGGTAGTTTGAAGTGAGAAGAAAACTGCCGGTTAATAGACTTTTTTGCCGTATGCGGAGAAGTCAACTACCAGTTAATAGACTTTGCCGTTGAAGTCAGAAGTCAACTGCCGGTTAATAGAATTTTTTTGCCGATAGTGAGAAGTCAACTGCCGGTTTATAGACTTTTTTGCCGCTTTGAAGTCAGAAGTCAACTGCCGAATAATAGACTTTTTTATTTGGTAGTTTGAAGTGAGAAGTCAACTGCCAGTTAATAGACATAGAAGTCAACTGCCAGTTAATAGATCTTAGTTTGAAGTGAGAAGTCAACTGCCAGTTAATAGACTTGTACCGTTAAAGTAAGATGAGTACTTTGAAAGGGGTCGAATATGACATACAGTGTGGGTGATGGATACTGTAAAAGTGGTAGAATACGGCATTCAGTGGGGTTAGTACTGTGGTAGGGGTCGAATATGACATACAGTGGGGTGGTGGCGTACTGTGGAAGGGGTCGAATATGACATACAGTGGGGTGAGCTACTGTGGAAATAGTCAGAAGTCAACTGCCGATTAATAGACTTTTTGATTTTCAGTCAGAAGTCAACTGCCGGTTTATAGACTTTTTTGCCGTTTGAGTAGTCAGAAGTCAACTGCCGGTTAATAGACTTTTTTGTGAAGTGAGAAGTCAACTGCCAGTTAATAGACCTTTTTGCGTTGAAGTCAGAAGTCAACTGCCGGTTAATAGAATTTTTTTGCCGATAGTTTGAAGTCAACTGCCGGTTTATAGACTTCGAATATGACATAGAGAAGTCAACTGCCAGTTAATAGATCATGGTAATTGAAGTCAGAAGTCAACTGCCGATTAATAGACTTGGGGTCATGATAGTTTGAACTCAGAAGTCAACTGCCAGTTAATAGACTTACTCATGGTAGTTTGAAGTCAACTGCCAGGTAATAGACTTTAGTTTGAAGTGAGAAGTCAACTGCCGATTGATAGACTTTTATTTGAAGTCAGAAGTCAACTGCCAGTTAATAGACCTTTTCAGTCAGAAGTCAACTGCCGGTTTATAGACTTTTTTGCCGTTTGAGTAGTCAGAAGTCAACTGCCGGTTAATAGACTTTTTTGTGAAGTGAGAAGTCAACTGCCAGTTAATAGACCTTTTTGCGTTGAAGTCAGAAGTCAACTGCCGGTTAATAGAATTTTTTTGCCGATAGTGAGAAGTCAACTGCCGGTTTATAGACTTTTTTGCCGCTTTGAAGTGAGAAGTCAACTGCCAGTTAATAGACTTTTTTACCGTATGAGCATACGTTGCCCAGGGTGCACCACATGGAGGTATGTCTATCGCACAACCAGCTATTCAAATTATTAATGGTTTATCTAACATGTCCACATTTGAGAATGCTCCTTTATTTCACCCATTGAGTAAGCTGCTGTCATGCATTTTTGAATGCTCAAGGTAGCCAATTTTAAACAGCGAACCCTATTAATTAACTGGATGTCTGTTCTGTCTACATTCCTGTTTGTGTGTCTACTTAATTCATTGTTTTTATCACATGACAACACCAGCATGCGTTGGCATTGCTGACCTCATAATCATTCGCTTAAATTCTCTCCGAATTTCAATGTCTAGTAGAGTTGTTATATTTTATTCTGGTGTACTGATCGTAAACTCAAGACCGCGGAACGGTGTGCTTCTAGATGTATCTTTCGTGTTAGTTCCGTTTAGACTGTATAGAGGTGACCGTTTAACATCAAATTTATTTGTTATGACTCGCAGAGATAACACGAATTATCTAACTAGGTAACCATTTTGCTTATATTTAAGGCAAACAGAGTTTCTATTTCCTTATTAATGTCAGACACGAAACAAATAGAATTTTGAAATTGAAATAACTCCTGCTTTCTAACCATGTTAACTGCACATTACCGACCACTATAGTCCATTAAAGCTAATAGGAATTTTGGAAAAATTCGCTTTTCCTAAAAGAAATAATTCATGATATCTCCTCACTGGTCAATTAAACTAAGGCTGTGACTTCACCGATTTTACTGTTAGTTAAAAATTAAGATTTCATCTTTTTTTCAAAAACGATGAGATAGTTTCAATTCACCCATCTTAAATTGATTCACAAGGGTTGCGTGATAGACTCGACTCCATGTGTTGCACCCTGGGCAACGTCTATAAATACGGTAAAATGGCATATAAATCGTAGTTGATTTCTGACGTCAAACTACCGTGACCCCACTGTATGTCATATTCCACCACTTCCACCATACTCATCATACATTCTTCTCCATTTTTGTCTCTTTTACATCAGTGAATCACACTTCTGTCCCTCTCCCCCCAACGCACCCCTCGATTTTTTGTGTCTTTGATGTTTCTCTCCTCTGTGAAGCTCGAAGTCAACTAGGAGGCTAATGATAACTATCATAAAGCCTGCCATTTCATATAAATAAATAGAAATATTGACACTCTATCGATAGAATTACTAGACCTATCACTTTGGCAAATAACTCTTGCACCACACCTGCATTTCGTATCTCATCTTGGCGGTTACGACCTTCAATGTCTTTGTTTCTATGAAATGTTCCTCCTTCATTGGTCTTGGTTCTCCTCCCTCTCATTAAAATCTTGGTTGTCGTTATTCAGCAAAATGTGGCCAATTGAGTTATCTTAGAAATTTGATTTGGAAGCTCTCATTGCATGCTGTTCGCAGTAACTTTTGTCGCCATTCTCAACAAATTTATGAAGTAAATTCCATTACTGGTAAACTATTAACTTTTTACCTTTGTCAATAATCAGTTCGTCTCTATTGGTTTGTTATCAGAAGGCCGATTCTAATTGGGTAGTTTAAACAATGAGATCAAAATATGATTGGTGACTGAAATCATCAGGTCACGACTAGTAATAGTATATATGCAGACACAACCTCCTCTACTTTTTAGAATCGTTTGAAAACATGATCGATCATTCTTGTAATAATTCACTTTACGTCGGTGATCTCCATCCAGCCGTAACAGATCCGATGCTTTTTGCAATATTTTCTAGCATCGGTAGGATCGAAAGTGCACGAGTGAACCCTGATGCTACTGGTCGGTCCCCCCACGCATACGGCGTTGTCAAATTCGAAAGTCACCAGGATGGTAAGATGAGTTATTATTAAATGATTTTTTCAGCAAAGCGTGCTCTTGAGAAACTAAATTATGCTGAACTCATGGGTCGTCCGATGCGTGTTATGTGGTATGAACCAGATCCTTCGGTACGAGAGGCTGGAAGGGGCAATATATTCATAAAAAAATTAGACAAAGTGATTAGCCAGCAGGACTTGTACGTAACTTTCAATCAGTTTGGAAAGATCCTTTCCTGCAAGGTAAGCTTTGCTTAATTACAATTTTTCTTATTTTTCGTATAGATAGCCCATAATGGGGAAGGTGCTTCCAAAGGCTTTGGTTTCGTCCATTTCGAAGATGAGGAATGCGCTAAAAGAGCTATCAAAGCAACCAATGGAAAGATGATAAGTGACCAAATTGTTTATACAGGAAATTTCATTACAAAAGACGAGCGCAAAGACCTCAAAGCAAAATCTAAATTCACCAATTGTTACATCAAGAACTTTAGTAATGATTTGGACGACGAAGGCCTTACAAAACTCTTTGAAGAATTTGGTGAAATAACGAGTGCACGCATTATGAAGGATGATCAAGGCAATTCGAGGTGCTTCGGTTTCGTTTGCTTCTCTAATCCTGACAGTGCTGAAGCAGCAGTGGACGCTTTGAATGACAAAGAGATCAACGGTCTAAAGATCTACGTGTGCAAAGCACAAACAAAGACAGAACGTCAGGAATTTCTGCACAAAGAATATGTAG